AATAAGTAAATACATGTAAAGATTATGGATCCGATCGAATTTATAAATAAAAATGGTGTTTAATAAGCTTATAAGCTATTATAAACTTTGCCATAGTCGCACTTAATATTATTTATTGATTTAATTGCTAAGCATGTTCTTTTGCATGATTAAATATTAGAACACATTCCAAATGCATGAATTTATTACAGCTGACTTCAAGTTTATTATCAATAAAAGTCAATTTGTTACGCTTGTCGATTAGTTGACAAATACGTAATTTTTTTCATAAATTAAATCTCGAGTACGTATTTCTCTTCTTCGGATAATCCCATTCAATGCGAAAACAAATTACGCGTGGACTAACACTTGGCTCAATGGGCTGTGTACAGATGTTTAAGTGCTTAATCACCAAACTAATGAGGGATTTATTAATTTAATCATTATCCCGTAAATTTTGAAAATTGAAATATTCAATGTCTGCCACCTTTATAATAAATGGTCAATTTACTCGGTTCATTTTCATTGTTAAATTCAAACGACTTTCGGAGTAATTCAAGTTAGAAAAAACGTACGAGATATTACTGCATTGACAAGTGTCTTTTGTAGATAGTTGAATAGGATAGTGAAGCTAATCCCCATTCAGCAACACTGTGTGTCGGCTAATAGAAAACAATTGATTTTTGATTATGATCCTATGAATAATTTGGGTACAATCTTGATTTAACGTCAGCAGATCCTCTTATTCTTCAGATAATTCGTAATTTAATCTTGTATTTTTCTTTATCATTAATATTATGACAACGAAAATTCAAAGTTTTCAGACAAATCTATATCAGAGAAGTTAAGACGAGGAATAAAAGTGTCCTTGAGTACGTAAAAATACAAATATGTAGGCTGGGAATGAATTATGGGATTGAACAGTTCTCAATTTTTTGAGATAAATATTGATTTATAACTATGGACACTTAACAATAATTATTTTATAAAGATTTAAATTCAAATTTAGTACTTTCTCGTCCTTGTACTTGCATTTCATTCTCTAACTCAAGTGCTGGATTAATTTTTGTCGAGACTATTTTTAACTATTTAATGAACATTTAAATGATTTTGTCATTGTTACCGATCGTGCAAAGATTGAATATCAACTTGCATTTTTTAAGTTGAAGATGATTCACTACTTCAACAATAAATTCAAGATTAATGATGTGATCTTCCATATATTCTTTCATGTGCATGAAACTTGAAGCCTTCCTTTGGAGGATTTTTTTTTTTTTTTACATGTTCTCATTTTGAAAGTGTTTCAGTTTTTCTATAATAATTTTTTAAAAAAATTTAAAAAAATTTTCTATTATAATTCCATCCAAACTCTTTATTAAAAAAAAAATGTCATGATTCATGTTTAGGGGATAACAATTTTTGCCAGAATAACAAAGAAATAACTCGTAAGAAAGCAGTTGGTGACAGAAGTCACGTGATTTTTGTGGAATATTGAAATAAGCAGAATTGTGAAAAGATTTCAAAAAAAAATAAATATATTAATAAAATTAAACATGATTAAAGAGAATAGAAAAATATTATTTATTATAGAGATTAATCAATATTAATACTTTTAAGTAAAACATGTTCTTAAGGTCTAGTTTTAAAGCATTTTGGCCTTTTATGCATTTATTATATCGATTTAGTCATTAAGTTTCTACGTTTTTTGCAAATTATTTCATACACATATTTATTCTACTTATAAAAGTCAACTTTGAAATTAAATTACACATGTTTATATAATTTAATTACTCCATTCCATGTGATTTTAAGTTACCAATACTTTGATTGAATGTGATTAAATCATTGCCATAGGTTCTTACATAATTTAATTTCAATAAGTACATTTAGCCAACTCATCATATGCTCGTTTCTTGTAAAATATAGTCCTATTTTATCCAAAAGTCATGTTAATATTATGGATAAAACCACTTGTACATTATCTTGTGTACATTGTGGTTTACATTCGATTGAATTTTAAATTGAAATGGGCGGGAAAAGATGTTTTATTTGAAAACTGTTCAATGATGTCGAGACGTGTGGCACAATGTCAAACTTGTTGTCAAATAAAATGTAAATATAGCATGATTCTAATATTATTTCTTCAATCACAGTCATTTTATGTATATGTTAATAATTCTCGATATTTTTTGGCTACGAATATTCGAGTCTAAGCCCCTATTTGATTTCCATTTTTAAAAAGAACTCATTTTATCTTGAACTCATTTTTAACAATCTATTTAATAGAATCCACAACTTTTCTTAAGTGTTTAATCACATATTTCATCAATTTTTAACAAAATTTTAATCAAAACCAATCATGGGCCAAATAAGCCCCCGTTTAAAGGTGTCAAGACGGACGGGCCGACCAGACTTGTGAAAAATCGGCTAAGATCGACCCGAGACCGTCGGCCGACCAGTAACCCGACCGGGTGATTCACAGGTCAAGGAGGTGTGATCCGCGGATTGCACCTTCACGAGCAGCGGTTAACCCCCTGACCCGTAAAAAAAAAAAAATTTAAAAAAATTGGAAAAGGGGGGCTTGCTGTAGCCTCCGGTAAGCTGGCAGGCAGGTGGTTAGAAATTAATATTTGATAATAGTAATTAGAAATGCATTTAATTGTTATTTATTTAAGTTAAATTTAATTTTGTAAAGTTATTTTGCCATAGGTTCTTACATAATTTATTTTCATCAAGTACATTTAGCCAATTCATCATATGCTCGTTTCTTGTAAAATATAGTCCTATTTTATCCAAAAGTCATGTTAATATTATGGATAAAACCACAATCATTTTATGTATATGTTAATAATTCTCGATATTTTTTGGCTATGAATATTCAAGTTTAAGTCCCTATTTGATTTCCATTTTTAAAAGAACTCATTTTATCTTGAACTCATTTTTAACAATATATTTCATAGAATCCACAACTTTTTTTAAGTGTTTAATCACATATTTCATTAATTTTTAACAGAAATCTAAATTTTAACAAAATTTTAATCAAAACCAACCATGGGCCAAATAAGCCCCGTTTAGAGGTGTCAAGATAGACAGACCGGTCAGACCTATGAAAATAGGCCAAGATTGACCCGGGACCGTCAGACGACCAATAACCCGAGCGGGAGGTTCATGGGTCAAGGAAGTGTGATCCGCGGACTTCGTGGGTTGGCTATGAATATTCAAGTCTAAGTCCCTATTTAATCTCCATTTTTAAAAGAACTCATTTTTTTAAAAAAAAATATTTAATAAAAATCATGTTAACAACTTTTCTTATTCATCAATTTTTAACAGAATATAATAAAAATCTAATTTTTAACAAAATTTTAATCGAAACCAACCATGGGCTAAATAAGCCCCTGTTTGATATTCTTTAGTTCAAAATTCTTTTTTCTACATACTCATTTTCAACTATATATTCATACAATAAAATATTTTACAGCTAAACTTATAACTTTTTCCTATTTTTTAACGACACATTTTTAAAAATATTATTATTCAAAACTTCATTTTTGACAAATAAAGGATAACAAACATGGGCTAAGAATCTCCCCATGTGAAAAATTTTGAAAAAAAAATAAATTAAAAGCAAAAGAATAAATAAGGAAAATTGATAAAATCTTTAAGCACCAAGTGGCCATTTTCTCCGGTGGTCAATTTCTGGCATCAGTCACAAACTTTTCAGTTTAACACACTACAGTGCCCTCCGCAGTGGACTTTGAATAGTATAACAGAAGACCAGTAAAATATCTACACGTACTTATTAAAAATTTACCTTTTCAGTTCCTTATAAAATCACCTAGATTACTATTCTTGTACCTTCAATTTAAACGTTCAACCTCTCTCTCTCTCTCTCATACACACACACATACACCATTAACTGTGTGTATAAATCTTCACACACAACTGCCAGTTTTGGTTTTTTCAAGGAACGCCCACAAAGGCAAACCCCTTGCGCCTCCTCTTCACAACCAACCAATAAGCAGACTCAAAAAAGAGCTCTAACAGAAACGAAAAGGAAAGGTCGACAAAGAAGGCTAAAGAAAAGACCTCTTTTTCTTAAGAATCTCAAGTACCACATCCGTCTTAACTTTGTCCATTCATTCATGTAAGTTTATTGGAATTTTTTCATGTTTTTTGAGCCCTTTTCTTGTTCAAATTTCTCTGTTTCATTGTCTTGATTTCATCTACAATCTGCAATTTCATTGACTGCATTCCCCAATTATGCACTATCCCATTTTGCTATCCCCACCTCAATATTTTGCATTTCTTGGAACTCATCCACTCTTTATACAAAACCCACAATTTTTTCATCAATATCTATTGTTGAGGAAAGATTTCACCGACAGATATTGATCTATGTGTTTGTACATCGAAAATTTTATATTTCTTAGATGACTTTGAGTTAAATAAAAACCCCAAAAGGTAACTTTTGAAGAATCTGGTTCATACCAAAAAGAATATATCCTTTGCCTTTTTTCCATTATTAGTTCATCTTCTCCAAGCTGTCTTTCTCTCTGTAAAGTTTACATTATTCTTCAAGAAAAAGGAACTCCCCGGCCTCTCTCTTATAAAATATATTTTTCCCGTTTACCCTTTATTAATATACTTGCATGAACTTATTCAATTTTTATTATACTACAAGTGGTATATATATACACAAATTTTTCCTTTTTCGTTTATTTCTTAACGTGTTCGATCTTCCTTATTGTCTCCTTTTCTCCTGCAAATGGTTTTTTTTATATTCCCAGTTATATTATACCCTTTTAAACAATTAATTGTTGACATGTATTAACTCTTCTTAAATGTCGATATCGAACATTTTTATTTATTAATAGATGATTAAACGTAAACCGGCCGTCTTGTTTTTCTTGCTTAAACTTTCACTCATTTTAGAAAAATTCACAAATTTCTTCTCACTTCCATCCAATTCTTGCTAACGGAAGTCGAATGCTTTCTTTCAGCTCCATTCGTGTTGCAAATCAATGAGAACAGACGAAAAAATATCTAAGGTATTAAGGATCTAGTTGTATTGAATCTTTAGAAGGAAAAAAATTGTTTAGAATATGTTTTAATTTGTTATTTTGTATTAATAGTTATATTTTTTGCAGTCTTCATGGCCAAAGGTGGTGGCCAGAAAATGGTTGAAAATAAATAGTGGTGCAGAAGAATTTCACTCGGACTATAGAACAAAGGGTAGATTTTATTTTCTTCACAATTTTTACTATTTTATTTAAATCATTTGTTAATATATCATTAACTTTTGAAATCAGCTTTTTCACATATGAGCGAAAGAAGAAAAAGTTGCTCCGACGAGGCACGCTCCGCCGTCGTACCAGAAGAATTATCTGGTAACTGTTGTTTGCCTCAGATTTATGTATTTATTATCACCAGTAATGGAGATATTTTTCTCGCACTTATTTGCCACGTGGAAACAGATGCTAGCTTATTGATTGTGGATTAGGCTGTTTAACTTTGTTTTCAGCTTTATTGTTTACCTAATCACGTCTTAATCTGATTAATGTAACCAGAAGATTGGTTGATGGGAGTAAGTAACGAAATCAATCGGCCAGGATTCGACCTGCAGGCCGCACCATCACCTGTCAACAATAGCCTCGACCACAGTCTTAGGTGAGGCAAGAATAAATTTTTTTCTTCTTCTAAAAATTATTCAGTACAATGAAATTCACCGAGTCACGACGTATTGAAAAAAATTATATGATCTCTTAATTAGAAAGCAAATCATGATTAGGAAGGGGGTGGGGTGGGGTGGGTTTTAATTTTGGTAGATCAACAATAAAAAAGGTTGCATACTAGTTGCCTAAATCATTGAGCTACAACTTTTTCCATGTTTAGTTGCAAATCATGTGGCCTTGATGTTATCACTAGACTATTTTATGGGGGCTTAGTTTTGTAATTATTTTTTATTAATAATCTTTTCAAATGTATATTTTCTACTATTACTCAATCAAAAACCTTTGTAAGTGTATAATTCGAATTTTAATTATATGCGATAATTTTGATTGTAGGATGTTCATGGGAACATGGAATGTAGGAGGCAAGCCTCCACACGATGGATTGAACATCGAAGATTGGTTAGGCACTACGGCAAAAGCTGATATATACGTACTTGGGTATGTCGATTCTTCGTTTCGTCCTAAATTTAGAAGTTCGGTGAAATTGTATTTATGAGACTAACAAGTCTATCTCTTTTTGTTATGAAACAGATTCCAGGAGATAGTACCTTTGAATGCAGGGAACGTACTCGGCCCAGAGGATTGTGCTCCAGCAGCAAAGTGGCTTTCATTGATCAGAAAAGCTCTAAACCATGAGCCAAACAACTCTAGTCACAATAACATCGTTAGTCCTATGTTGAAACAGTCTCCGAGCCCAAACGATCAACAACAAAATACTCCGTATCCAAGAGTCAGTTTTTCGGATTTAATGTCATTAGAAGATGAGCTCGATCACGAGGGTTTTGAAAGATTTTTGAGTTTGAGATCAAGTTCATATTCTAGTGAAGAAGGTTTGCCTAGTCCACCAAGTGAGCCAGCTACACCTAGTATGGTACAACATCAATATCGACTCGTTGCAAGTAAACAAATGGTTGGGATCTTTCTATGCGTATGGGTTCGTGACGACTTGTGTCAACAGATTAGCTCCTTGAAGGTCTCTTGCGTTGGAAGAGGCATTATGGGATACCTCGGAAATAAGGTATAACTAGTTATACGACTTTTTAGTTTGATGGAATATTTCAATATAATTGAGAAGTAATGTTTTTAACGTGTGGGTTGTTTTCTTTATGAAATTTTAGGGATCGATATCTCTCAGCATGACATTGTATCGAACAACGATTTGCTTCGTGTGTACTCACTTGACATCGGGAGAGAAAAAGGGCGATGAAATTAGAAGAAATTTGGACGTTATGGAAATTTTAAAGAGAACAAGATTTTCTCATCCAAGTCGAATACCAGGAAAACCCACTCCACCTGACAACATTTTGGATCATGAGTAAGTAATTTTAGTGCGTAGTCAATGTTTAAATAAAGAGTACAAATATTTGTAGATTAATTCTGATTAATTTTCCTTCAATATTAATCCAGCAAGGTATTTTGGCTAGGAGACTTGAACTATCGACTTGCATCTGTTTGTGATGAAACATATGAGCAACTAAAGAGTAAGGATTGGAAAGCACTTTTAGAGAAAGATCAGGTAAATGAATTTCCATCCTAATATTACTCCCAAGAAATGAAAATTGGAATGCAAAAAGAATATTTATTATAAAATCATTTCTTAAAAATAGTTGTTATTATATGTTGCAGCTGATGATAGAACAAAAGGCTGGTCGAGTATTCGATGGTTGGGAAGAAGGGAAAATAAAATTTGCCCCGACTTACAAATACTTTGCCAATTCTGACAATTATGTTGTCCAAACATCCACATCTAAAGCGAAGCGCAGGACTCCCGCTTGGTAAGATTTTCCTAAAAATATTACTATATATATATTTTTTTGCGATACTTGAAAGTCAACTTTTGTAGTCAACTGTAAAAATGGGGACTAGTTGTGGACAAAGAAATTTCAATGAATAATATTTTTATTTTCATAATTTCATATTTGGTCATATAAACTAGTGGTAGGAGCATCTTGAGTAAATGTGTAAAGAAACTTCGAATTTGAAAAATTGACATAAATCCAAGAACAGGTTTAGGAGACATTTGAACATGTCACATGGTATTCAAATATATTTTATTCTATTCTGACTAATATTCCATTCATTATAAGTTAGTGCACCGTCCAATTACCCGATATGATTCTTGTTAAAATAAAACTCGGGATTTCCAAGATTAAGAAAGTCATAATTTTACCTGCTTAAATTTGTTGAATAATATATCCAAGGGTTCGTTTGGCAAAATTTTTGAAAAATCAAAAGTTATTTTTCTAAAGTTGTTTTTTTTAACATATTTGAATAATTTTTTTGAAATACTTTAACTCATTCAAAGAATTTTTTTAAAAAAGTTTGACCTAAACATTCTACTTGTAAATGTATTGTTAAGAATTAATGTTCTATTTTAAAAGGTCAACTTTATTAAGAGGAGTGGTCCAAACTCTTATAAATTAGTCTATATTTTCATCTTTATTCGATATGGAATTTTATCACTTAACATGCCTCCACAAGATGGTGGCTCGTTTGAGATGACCAATCTTGAAATTCGTGTGCTCAATTTTTTATTTTTTTTATACTTAATCGGATCGAATTGCTTGTTGGAGCTTAATGGGCTCTGATATCATGTTAAGAATTGTGGTTCCATCTTAAAAAGTCAATATTATCAAGAGGAGTAATCCAAACTCTTATAAATTGGTCTTTGTTTTCATCTTTATTCGATGTGAGATTTTATCCCTTAACCGGTATAACCAGAAATCCCGTATTAATAGTTTGATTAGTTCTTAAATATTTATGTTTTGTTTTTCTTGAATAAATGGCAGGTGTGACAGGATTTTGTGGAAAGGTGAAGGGTTAAAGCAGATGTCCTACGTTAGGGGTGAATCAAAATTCTCAGACCATAGGCCAGTTTATTCGCTTTTTACAGTACAAGTAGATAATGTAACCAATACGGAGAAATCCACATCGATAATCGGTTCAAACACCCCTGAGCCATCGACAGCAGATAAATTACTTTCAGAAACTGCTGTTTTATCCGCAACAGAAGAATTCATGTTCATAACCAGGGCACAGAGTTGCATACAGAAAACCTCAAGGTTCTTTATCACAGCCCAACAAGTTACCAGCCAATAGAAGACTCCCACATGCAAGTTACTGACAAGTGAAAGACTGACACGTGGGTACTGTGATTGACAGAAGTCACCCACCTTTGAACTCTCCCCCATGTCTCAAGCAACCTGCAAATGGGAACAGCAGAGAGGATAAAATAACATGCGGGTCACGACAGAATGGTGGATGGTTGCTGGGTGATGGACACATGTACACTTGAACGTGGTGGTTCCCGAAATGCACATTGAATTTTGGATTTTTGTGCTTTTGAGGAATTCGCGTTTTAGTTTTTATATTACCTGGTTAAAGCTGAAGTGTTAATAAGAGAAAGGGCGATATTTTTTCATTATAGGAACTGATGGAGTAAAGAGTTGATTTTTTGTTTCTATTTTTGTCAATTGAACGACAGGTTATTCTAAGTGTCTAAACATAATTGGACATAGTGTTAATGTTGGGCTGTGATGTCAATCAGTGGCTTTGCCCATTTTCAGTATTTGATCCATTGCTTGATAATTCAAGTAGCTGTCCAATATATGGTAAAAATCGCATTTTCAAAGTCAACTTTAGTTGCCACTTAATGATGAAGTCGCCAATTGCTTTGGACGGTTGATCATTATATGAGATCAACGGTGATGATGTAGAGTATAAATAGGGTCTTACAATGTTGCCTCAATTCACTTTTGGCCATCTAATTTCTTTGGTGTTTTTTGGAATTTTCTCTGTTAATGGTTCATTCCTTTCATCTTATCTGATCATGAAACCTCTGGTTGGATGATTTCTTGTAGTTTTCTGAGTAAAAAGTGAGTCTATGGGATTCTTTTGAGTGAGAAGACTGTGATTTCAAGTTCATAGAAACAGTAGATTGAACCATTGAGAATTTGGATTTGAGGTTTCTAATATTATGTTTCGAGCCGTAAATCATTGAAATTTGAGACGTCTTTGGTTGTATCTTGTGTTGTAATATTTGATATAAATATTTTGTACAGTTTGGTTCACTTTGTTGTTGGGCAGTGATGCCAACATGGGGCAATGATGATCCAATATAACTTCGGACCTTTATGGTCCAGCATGAAGACACAAAAACGAAGAACAAGTCTACCAAGGAAAAGCCCAGAATCCAACCCCAACTAAGCCCATGTTTGATTTTGGATAAAAATTAAATTTTTAATAAATTTTAATAAAAGTTTAGATTTCATGAAATGTGTTGTTGAAAATAAATTTTTAGAAATGGAAGCCAAGCAGGGACTAAAGATGCTATTAGGAGATTATTACTATTTTTGTAACTCGATATATATTTTTTTTAAGGCAATTGGATCAAGGAGATGATCTGCAATTGGCGTTTGTTCCTTTTTTTATTATTATCCCGCGATTTTTGAAAAAATGTAGGTATGTAAAAACAAGATAGAATAAATATAGATGTCACTCCTTACAATTTAACATGGCTTTACATATTTTACCCAATCATTTTCTATTGTGTATGGACCAACCTTTGAACTAATTATTGTTGTTTTGAATAAGCTCTTGCATCTATTTTTTTTTTTTACTTTGTGAAATTATTAATTTTATATTTATTATATAATTTTATTTACACATGAGAACTACTTTACTTATAAGTGATTTTTTACATATAAGCTTAAAAAATAAAATATTTTAGTTATTGCAATTTTTACATATAAACAAATTTTTGCGTATAATTGAATTTTTATCTTGTAAGTGTGTATTTACTTAAAATATTTCTTAAGTGATATTAGAATTGAATTGAAATGAAAATATATTTATGTTATTCATCAAAAGTGTCTGAAATAAGTATACATATACAATATAAATAGCTAGGGAAAGAAACGTCAGCTATCATAACTAACATCCAGATGGCAAAACTAACTTATTAATTATATACAAAGTCGGTTGAATGAATTGCATGCACATTAGTTCTAATACTCCCCCTCAAAATGTGCGGCAAATATTCTTTACACATATCTCGGATAACGAACGAATAAGAACAAAAGCAGGTGAAGGTTTAGTAAAAGCATCAGCAAGTTGATGTTGTGATCGAACCAAATGAATCTTAACTACCCCAATCGTAATCTTGTCGCGAATGAAGTGACAGTCGATTTTAATATGCCTCGTTCGCTCGTGAAAGATAGGATTTATTGCAAACTGAATCACATCATGACCATCACAATAAAGAGCAGCTGGAGATGCAACAACAACTTGAAAATATATCAACAATTGATTGATCCAAATGATCTTGCTAACCGTGGTTGCAAGGGCTCTGTACTCAGCTTTAGTTGATGAACGAGAGATTGTGGGTTAGCTTTTAGATTTCCAAGAGACCATGGAATCACCAATGAAAATGCAAAAACCAGTTGTTGATTTTCGTGTGTCAATACAAGATTCCCAATATGCATCAGAGAATGCCCGAAGCTTGATGGATGAACCAGAACCAGAAAGTATTTGTGAAGAGAAGATGAAACCTTGACCAGTACTTTTTTTTAAATATCAAAGGAGATGATGAACTGCTTTAAGATGTGATGGTCTTGGTTGAGACATGTATTGACTTAATTTGTGCACTGCAAATGTGATATCAAGACGTAAAAGAGTCAAATAGATCAGTCACCCAATTAATCTCCTATAATGAGAAGCATCTGGCAACAAATAACCATCATGAATGCAGAGAGTTGCTTTTGGATCCATATGACTATTTACTAGTTTACATTCCAGATAACACATATCATCAAGTAACTATAGTGCATAATACCTCTATGAGATGATAATTCCTGATGTGGAGCAGGAAATTTCAATCCCCAAGAAGTACTTCAAACATCCCAGATATTGAAGTTAAATTGAGAATGCAAAAGCACTTTTAATGAGTCAAATAGGGAATAATCTGCCTTAGATTGAGTAAAACCATATTGAATTAAGGCATGAGAGAACTTAGACTTCCGTTGCCTTGAAACCTGCTTAAGTCCATATATGGACTTGTGTAATTTACAAACTAGCTCTCCCTGTTTGACCGGTTTATAGAACTCATATCCAAGAGGAAGGTCCATATAAACCTCCTCAAACAAGTTACCATTCAAGAATGCATTATTCACATCCAGTTGGACTAAATGCCACTTTTGGCAGGCTGTAAGAGTGAGCATCACTGTTAGGTTTATATATTGTATTGACGATTCTGTGAACAAAATGATCAACATGAACAATAATAAAAGTTTAGGGACTAAATTGTAAAGTTTCATACTTGGTAGGTTAGCTTAGGGTTTTGGGTTTCATGTTTGGAACAAGAAGGATTCATTCTGATTTTTCGCTAGCTGCTTACCGGAGCCATGCTCAAGCGGATGAAACAGGAACATCCTAGCTCGACTTTCGCCCTACTGTCGCTCGAGTGAAATGTCCTCCTTGCTAGAGCGATGTATTTTTTCGGCCAGACCTAATTTCGATTTTCGAGACTTTTACTTGTCCAATTTTCCCATTTTATCTAAACTGTCCAATATATAAATAGAGGCGCCGCATATTCTACGAAAGAGAGATTGAACATACTATTTTCTATAGAGAATTCATCCTACACAAGATCAAAAGTTCAATCATTCAAGCATATATGCTCTCATCATATTGAAAACATCAAATCCATCAAATCAAACACCGGATTGAATTCT